TAACAGAGATTAACTATGTTAAATGTCTGTACATATTAAATGCATTAAAAACATAATAGTGTTCGCATCTGTTTTCCAGTTTGTTTTCTAAGTTTTACATTAATTACTGAAGTTAACTAAGAAATATTTATTCTGTTTGTTTATTCTATAACTATGACATCAAATTTCATAAATATAACAATTCATATAATTTATTTAAATGATGATTAAAAAATGCTAAATAATTTAAAGGTATATTAATTTCAGTAATAATATCTATAAACTAAAAAATTATGTATGTTTGTTTTAAGAAATGATACAATTTATTTATGCTTGTTCAAATCACAATCACTTAATTAATGTCAATTAAAAAATATATGTTTTGCTATGCTTGAATATTATAACAATTCTTGGTGCACTAACCAAATAATTTTTGTGTTTAAAATATGCTTCAAAATTCAGTAATCACAAACAAGAAACAGTAGTAGCTAATGCTAAATTCTATCACCTACAATTAGCGACGATTTTTGTTATATATTTTTAAAATTCCATTTGTTGTACATCATACCTTTGTTGCTTAAATAAATAAAATAATTTTATCAGAAACATTTGATAAGTACTTTGATTTTTCATCTGCTACCAAAGTGGTTAAAATGATATACTTTCATAAATTTATGTATTGATATTAAAATGAAAAGTACTTAAGACAATTTATATTGTACCAGTCAAAGTTAACTTCATTACTGTTAAGACAATATATTAAGTTACATGCAAGAAAATGGCACTAACTTTTTTTTGAGTATACTAACTTAAATTTAACTTTAAAGATGTAACTTATGTATTTTAAAAATAAATTTTTAGATGTCATTTATTTAACACTTTTTAATCCATTAAGTTTGATCGTTCGTCCGCTTTAGGGGTAAAAATACAAAGAAATTGTTAGTTTTCTGCTGTAAATACAAATGCATTTAAATGCTTTCAGCTGATAATAAAATAAATTTGTGTTACTTTTAAAATTTCTCAATTCCTTTCCTAAAAACAACTAGAAGAAAAGTAACTTTCAGAGATTATTATTGTCAAACAGTAACATTTCACAAAAATGAGTTTACGAAACATTTTAAAAATAGTTTGCGAGCATCAATCCTGTTAAAAGATTTACGTATGGAATTTATATTCTTACAACCGAAAACATCCAAGTACGATAGACTGAATGGATTAAAATTGTAAAAGATAGAAAAAGACTTTTACCCTTTTAAAAATGATGGAAGAAAACATTTAAAAATGTATAGAAATAGTTTTAAAAACAGTATAATGTGATATTAAAAATCAGAAAGGAAATAAAGCTTTTGAGTATCTTATAAGTTTGTCTTTCCGAAATTAACAAGCAATTTAGATCTAATTATTAAAACAGTAAAACAGTAACTCAAAATTGAAATATTAAATAGTTTCAAAACTAGATTATAAATATTCATCAAGTTTCAAAATTATTTTATAGTTCGTCTATTGATGGCACTGCAAATTGAGAAAAAAAAATATAAAATGAAATTTTCATAATAGCCGCCTGCATCAAGAAACTGGTGCCCTCCTACGACAAAAATAACAATTATTTCTGACATGCAGCAGAAAAAGCAGTTAATTTTTTTCCTGATCTGCTGTTGAACTTATATTTATTTTGAAATCTAAAGTGAAAAAATTCCTGGATTCATTTACAAAACACAAAGAAACGGTACATTAATATCATCTGTTTTTCTTTATTTGATTGTTCAAATCATCGATGATATTTGCGGTATCTGGATACTTCTGGGTATACTTCATATCTGAGGAATTTTTTTTGTTCATGCATGTAATGATTATGTAGCTGCAATGCTTCATTCAATACATGAAAGATGTTACGAAATCACCTGACGTGTAAAAAAAAAAGAGTTTTGAATCTGGTTACAGAAGGAAGATTAATAGGACAATTTCCCCAGAGGAACAGATACAACTAATTAAAGTACTTAAATTATTAAATCACACTTTTAGAAAAATCACCAGTACAACGTTAAACTCTATTATCGAAAGTTTGAATCAGAACATCGAACATATGCAGCGAGCATAAAAAGGTATTAAATCGAACCATATTTTTGTTCAAAGTGTTTAATTATTTTGCATAATTATATTTTGTATAATTATATTTTGGGAGGCTTATTTTATGTAATTATTTTGCTCAACTCAACACCGTCGTGTGAAGATTTCAAAATATTTGCTCGATATTTTTATTCAACGTACACCAAAACTTCAAAATCTCTGACAGCGTAGTAAAATTTTATATTTTATGTTATATCCAGCGTAGAATACACTCAGGTTAATATTTCTAAGGCAATGCATTAAGATGTAAATGAGGCTTTTCATCTAAAAATCAAACTACAATCACTGAGTGTTCACATTGTTTTGTTAAAATGTTTTTTCGTTTTTTCTTATTATTTATTGAGAAGAAAATGATCTACGAACTATATAAATTTCGAAAAGCTGTGTCGTTTAAACAATGCTACTCACTATCTGTGCGTAAACAGTTTTCAGTTGCAGTAAAAAATTGCATCGCAATAACTGAAGAAAAATGAACAAATGTAATTTGGTAATAAATTTAGTTCGAGAAACATAATAATCCAAGGTGCTTTGATTGCGAAGATAATAAGGTTCGATATTTACTTCCTCATATAGGCTTATCCTTTAAATTTACAACAAAATATTTCTGATCGAAATATTTTGTTATAATAAAGTGTTCTTTAAATAAAGAGTGCAAGATTGCAACTAAAAACAATGATGCTTTTATTTAATGAGAAAATTATATATTGAGGAGAAATTTCTATACAAAATTGCTCAAGTGTTAATTGCTCTGTGAGTTTAAATAAATAAATACAAATAAAATCCATCATTTTTTTTATAATTGTGCTATTTTAAACCATATTGTATTCATACAGATATGTTTCTTCGATATTAATATGTACACTAAAAATAAAATAGCATTTGAAAGATCATGCTTGAAATTTTTAAAGTAATATCATTTTTATTCATTCAAAGTATAGATCGATCAAAATGAGGAAAGGAAGTTAGTAACTTTTTTCCAGTTTTGGTGTCAGCAATTTTGGTATAATTATATAGGGCTACGATGCATTTATCAGAAGACTTTTAGCATTATAGTGGTAGCAAATGAGGAAGGAATCTTTGAATTCCCTGCACTCATGTTTTTCGATGCAAATTTGACAAAAGTAAAAAGGGCGCTGTTTCTAAGAGCTTTAAGCAAGCTATCGCAACACCTCTCCATATCGAGTGGAAATTCATTTTGCCCTTATTTGTCTCTCTCGGTAACGAGTTTTTTTTTCTAGTTTGTCTTTTCATCTTCATTTCTTTAAACGAACAAACACAAAAGACAGAAATTGATCAAGTCACTTTTGGTTCTCCAGGTCAATGTCAGTAACTACAGAAATGAGTTTACATAATCTTTACTATTCACAATTACCGTTATTTACTTTTACTATTCACAATTGTTTTACTCTTTACGATGGCAACTCAACGTTTTATATTTCAAATGACTTTTGGTTTTTTTATTCACGTCTGACTAGTCTTAAATGGGTGCCAACTTATAAACACTTAAAATATGTTGACTTTCATTGCAATTTTCATATATTTTTTTTGAAATCAATGAAGTTTTCAATCAAGCAATAAATATATTACATTTTATTTTAATTTCATGTAAATAGTAAGCACTATTTTAGTTTAGAAATCCCGAATTTAATTACAGCTGCTCTGGAAATTAACAGAAAAACGTTTCCTACATAAAAAAAATACGCCAATGAACTTGTAGATACTCTTTACAAAATGAAGTTTACACCATTGTCTATGTATTAACGTTTACTTTTAAACTAATTATATTTTAAAAAAACTGCTTTTTTTTAAAACTTATTAAACTTACTAATAAAAAAGTTATATTGAAAGTAGTCTGATTTCTGTCTAAAAACTATGGACAAATGCCTTACTACCGGAAAAATAAATTCAATTAGATTGGAAGATTAATTACAAATTTTAAAGAACGAAAATTTACTTAGTTGCATCTCCTTTAAAAAATAATAAATAGATAAACTGGACAACCAAAATAAAGAATTATAACATATTTAACAATGTCTATGCTTATTTAGTACTTCAATAAAGCTTCAATAAAAATAAAGCTTACTAAAGTAACGTTTTATTTTACTTAAGTAAAATTGCATTAAAATAGTAATTTATATCTTGACAAATTATGTCATAAAATGTAACTCTAAGACTTTAAAACAATTTGTCAATATAATTAGGATAACATTTAAATTTGTGTTAAGCTTCTTGTAAACTTATGACGTCTTAAATACAGCTCTTCGAGGAAAGAGAAAATTGATTTTGGGAAGAGCAAACCTTTCTGTTTTTTAGTGTGCTTGTTGCTAATTTAGTTTAATGTAAAGGTGTCTTACAGTTCAGATATATGTACCTAAAATATATTAAAGGTATGTTTCGACAAGAAATAATTTCAAGTAAGTAGTAAAGGAAAAAAGGTTTACCAAACCATTTCCTGACTATACTAGAATGTAATACATACTATCCATAAAATATATGTGCCATATCAACAAAAAAAGTAAATGCTACACCCTGATCTAGCACATTTAGATCAAGAGATAAGTTTCACTCTGATGTGAACAAATATGTGAATATTTACAGCAGCAAAAAATAAAACAATACATCTCGTATTTAAATTAGTTTATCATATAATGTGCATTACAAACGATAAAGTATTCACGGATATAATAGATTAAAATTCAAAAAATGGTGGCGAAACATCCTTACTATAACACACTTTAACACTTTACATAACTGTAAAGCATGAGTAAACTCATGTTCGTGAGTACCAAACAACACCCTACATTTTCTTCCACTCTCACTTTCAAAGTATGGAATTTAGAACAAGAATTTAAACTGAAACACAAAGCGGATGCACTTTGATGTATATAAACATATGTTCTCTTTCGATTAACAGTATCAGAAACGGTCTTCTTACAGCAGTTCAAAGCTCTCCAATGGCTCGTTATCAATTCATCGTTCTTTTTGTCAGTTTGGCAGTTGTAGTTGCTTTAGAAAACTCAACGAGTGAAAATGACAACCAAAATCTAAAGAAGAAACCTGATCGTAATGGAAGAAAGTACACTAGCTTCTACAGCAACTTAAATTTTGATGATAAAATCGATGAAACTGAGGCACCAGAAGAGAAACCTGTATACTCTGATTCTGGTCTTCCCAAGCCACTTGCTAAGGGTGACAAAACCTTTTCCGACAAAAGCGACTATAAATTTCCGGAGTACACTAAGGGATACCCAATAGTACCTTATACCTTCAAAGGATTTCCTTACTATGGACCTTATTATTATGGCGAAAATACAGAAGAAATGCCAAAAGACCAAATGATGGACATGATGGAAATGATGAATGCCCTAAACAAACTTCAAGGTTCTTCAAAGAAGGAAGAAAAGGGTATCTTAGCTACACTTTTCTCGGAGCCTAAAATAGTAGCTCTAGCTGCGATGTTTCCTCTGGCTATTATGTTAGCTACTTTTGCTCCAGTTATAATGAATTACATTAAACCCTCTCCAGGAATGCCATCAACAATTACAACAATAGCCAACAGCAAAATGGCTCGAGCTCTTACTGACAAAGAAAATCTGGAATCAACTCTGCAGATCTTGATGGAATTCGGAGAAAAAGCCTTTAGTAAAGGTGAATGCTTTCAAAAGGCTTTTTGTGAACTTGCATTACAGCATGGGGGTAAAAATAACATGAAGAATATCGCTACAGTTGTCAACAAGTTGGGCAAAAAAGATTGGTTGAAAAGTTTTCATGCAAAACACTTAGTTGAAGGTTTGGAGCATGGCGATTGCACAAACGTATGCCACAGATCAGCAAGACATCATAAGCATAGAAGCCTTTAACCAGCTGTCCATTTTGAGGTAAAAAACTTACATTTAAATTTTACATAGACATATTAAGAAATTAGGCTATTATATATAAAAGGATGATTGCATGAAATGGTTATGCTCTTTAAAATATGTTGAAGAACACTATCTTTTTTTTATCAGTAGTTAATGATATCTATTTTTTTAATCTAAGAATAAATAACATAAATTTTTATTTGAGGATCTTTGATCATAATGAAACACGTATAAAAGTATACAATTTAGTCGATTTTTTTTCCTTTTGATCACCTTTAATCTTCGACAACTAATCAAAATACAAATTAGATACCTATTATTTATTATTCATATCATTTGGTATCATGAAAAAATTAAAATTTGATTGGGCTAAAACATATTTAAAATAATTATATAAACTTTAATAAATTTGAGCTCTTGCGTAATCAAAAAAAATAGCATGGATTTTAGCAACCTTTAACATTGAATATAAATTTAAAATAAATTGAATGAATGAAATTTAAAATAATACATAAAGTAAAGTATCATTATGAATAATATATTGATCTTTATAAAACGTGAAACCTTTTTCGAATAGTATTCTTCTTCATTGTAATGAGATTTTTGGTTTTCCTCTATTGTTTAATTTGTGGAGCAATCTATTTGGCAGTATAAAAGATGTCAAAGGTATGAGAGATCAAAATAAATATGGAAAAAATCGGTAAGAACATGAGGGTTAGGCTAAATCCGTTTTTTTCTCATAACTGCAGATGAGGCTCAATTCAAATAAAATCAATACGATCAGACTTTCTTTTAAATAATTTTGAATGTAATTATATAATATCGTTTTATTCATTATGATATATTAAAATTTTTAAGCTATATATCATCTGTATTAAATATTTTATTTACTATGCCTTACATATAATACTTTCCTGCGAGCTCCAGTACAAAAGTAAAAATTTATAAAGGTCATAACGTTAATTTTGTATTAAAAAAATTAAAATAAAAGGAGATTTTGTAATAGTAGAAGGATATTAACTATCAAAAATAATAAAATTTAATGATATCATAATTTATACGACAGACATCGTATTCTCATTTAAACGATAAGATAAATAAAAAGAAAGAAAAAAATGAATCACTGAAATTATAAAGCAGTAACTGTCTATAAAAATCTCTAAACAATTTTATAGATAACATTATATTAAAATATTAATGCGAATTATAAAAAAGTATAAATTTTACATTTCAAACAATTACTTTGTATCGTATTTCTCTTAAAAAAAGTAAGTTTAAAAATTTTGACTCCGATTCAAAATTGGAATATTATTCTCTTTTCTTTATGCAGTAAAATTATATGATTCCTAAAATGAGAATGAAAGTTATAGAAATACTGCGTGTTTATGTCGTCCACGTAAAAGAAAAATTTAAAGCATGTAAATTTAAAAAAAAAATGGCTTATACTGATTTTTTATCTCCTTACAGAAGTAGATTATTATTTTACTAGTTTTTGTGTTTAGTTCAATTTAATTCAATAGTTTTGGTTAGTTATTTAAAATTATGCTCATCATTTTGCGTTTTAACTTAAGATGCATAAAATGAAATTTTCATTACAAAAACAATAAATTAGTAGCATTTTAAGAACGGTGAAAATTACCATTAACTATTTTAAGCGAATATACATACATTTATACAGTTGTAACAACTGCATGATAAAATTAAAAAAAGTGTTAACTAATTATTTATGCTCGAATAATAATTGAAATGGAATAGAAATTACTTTACTTAGACAATTTCCACTTCAGTTCTTTCGACGCCAAAATTTTATCAAAGTTCTTTTACGAATAATAGTTAAACATAACAGTATTTATTTTAATTTAGATTTTCTAAAACAGAGAATGTTTGATATGCCTGAAGCATTATTATAGTAGACTTAATTTGAACGGAATAAATTCTATATAAGCATTCATCTAAATAAAAATTTTTAAAAAAAATTATAATTAGAAAATCTTTATATGATTTGTTATGAATTTATTAATCTAAAATGCTTTTTTCAAAAGTTTATTTTCAATGTAAATTGAGAACTTGATTTTAGCGTACCGTTTCTTGCTTTTTTTATGTTTCTAGTCATATAATCCGATTAGGTACGGCAAACCTCTCGAGGATTAGCGAAATTCAATTTTTGTGATAACTCCCACGTTACAGAACAGCTATTCCGAAAATGTTATTTTGTAGAAGGCTTAGTTAAAACTATTCTTTAAAACTTGTTAACAATTCAAAATTACATTTTGATTTTATTTTTATTACTGTGGCATTTGACTAGTAGTGTAATAAGATTTTCACTGAGATGTTAAATTTTATATATTCACATATTTTTAAGAATAGTCTTGCAATCAAAATAGTATTTTTTAATATAGTTAAATTTTTGTGAAACATAAAGAAGTTATTATAAAGCTCACAAACTTTAGAAGTTATTATCATTTTGCTAATATCTAATTTACTAATCTTTATGACTGAAATATATGCGAAATATTTTTTTTAAATATAATCTAATATCTAAAATTTAAAGAATACTTGACATTTTATGAAGCGATAATGATAATACCAAAGTTTAAGAAACTAGAAAACGAACATTGCGACCTTATATTTTATAGTTTTATATTTCAAAAACTTTAT